TATTACAGGTATTCCGTGGATTACTTTCTGCTGAATCTGCTTTTTTTTTGTTTTGCCATTGTTATACTTTCTTCTGATTCTGCTACCCATGAAATGCGAGTTGGTTCTTTTGTTGCACTTTTGATGAAATGTTTTCATTTTTCTTCTTTCATCAGGGGTTCCCACCACCATTGAGTACCACAAACTTATCCTTGAGGTTGAGGTGTGTGAAAAAAGTAGCTAGCTGTACTGTTAGGGAACCTTTTTTGTTGTTTTTATCATGGAAGTACTGGAATTTATGTAATTTACATGCTGGTAACAGGATTTCAAGAACGGAAAAGTTGATACAGCTTTCATCCCCAAGCATGAAGAGGAATTAGCAGAGGTACATACAATTTGTGTTTGTATTTCTGGAAAATCTAAAGACTATTTATAAGGTCTTTGCTATTTTCATTTGATAAGAGCCATGAGAGAGCCAGTGCATATCGTAGTCTATTTTTTGTTTTGTTTTTCAGCTATGATGCTACTCCAAATGTCGAGTTCTATTCTAACTTGTGGTAAATGCTAATGTGTGCAGCCTCAGGAAATTGTCTCAGTGAAAGACTTGACAAATGTAGCTGCGTAGAATTCATCAGTGATGGAAATCAAATTATGCCAATGCCCGCCGCAAAGTTCTCTTACCTGGTGTTTTTGCAACAGCACTTAGCATGATTTCGGCAATAACTGTGTGTGTGTTTTCTTTAAATAGAGTTTATGGTATTTTACAATACGTTCTAAAGGAATTGTCGATTTAGTTCGAGAACACAACTCTGAGCACTGCTCCGGCTCCGAGACCATTTAAGTATTTCTAGACGAAATCTTATCACTGTGGAAGTTTCGGTAGGCCTTTAAATGAGAGCATTACAAAACTGCAGTAAAAAGGAAAGATGCAGTACAAAACTCAAATCGCAAAAGCATTGGCTTCAGGCAACATGGGGACAAAGTCTTCCTCTTGACTTGTCGACCATCCCTTTGGTCTGCAAGAGCGACAGATAGTTGACAAAATTTACTTCCACGGCCAGAATATATATAAAAATCGGCAATTTACAAGAAGATACTAATTTTCTATGGTTTGAGTTTGACATAATTAATCCAAATATCTAAATGCAATTTTTTTTTTCGTCAATATCTAAATGCAATTTAAGCAAGAAAATGACATGAAAAAGTGTTTTTTTTATGAAATGAAAGCTAACCTAATGTATTATTCTACTTTAGGGTAATTGAGTTTTAGATCAAACACCACAATGATTTGAATCTCGGCAACAAAGTATTCTTACAATTTACAAATCAATAAGTGTATTATTTGCAAGAATGATTTAGTCGGCAAAATTTGAAATATCTGTTTTTAGATGTTTTGTTTCCTTTTATTAATTACGCCAACAAAAATCCAACGTAGACAAATGTCAGGGTCTATATAGGTCCTAAGGATATCGAAAAAGACGAAGCAAATAATTACGTATACATGATGATTATTAAATAAATGAGACAATCGTCAATTGTCGTGACATGCTGATGACAAAACATAACCAGTTTTTTTTTGTTTGTTTTTTTTTTCATCTGGATAATATTAACAAGCCGAAAATGGCTACATACAAGAGTCAAGAGAGATCAAAGAAACCCAACAAATTTCAGGAAAACCTGTATGTGATGTGGTCTGTTTTTTGGATTATAGTATAGTGTCTACTAAGTTTTCTTTAAGAATCTTCTTAAAAAAAAATTAATTATAAAAAAGTTTAAACCAATCATAAAATAGCATATGTGTAATGAGTTTCTTGAACATATATACAAAAGGCTCTCAACTATACAATTTAAGAAATGACCTTTGTTTTTCTTTCTTACTTTTTATTACTAGTTTATTAACTTTTTGGGTTAAAAAATATAGTTTGGAGATGGTTTTTCACTAAATCTTTTAAAATAAAAAATTAATAAATTAAAAAAAAAATGAGAAGAGAGAGAATTAAAAAAATTTCTCATTTGAAAGACTATGAGAGATTTGTGAGAGAATTATTTTATGTGTTCTCATCATATTATTGCTTTAAACTTTATTCCAAAATTAAAATTAATTAAATTATATTAAATTATTATTATTAAATTGATGAAAAACTGATGTGAATCTCTTGCCAATGCAGATGTTCTCAATATTTTTATAGTTCTCATTTTAAACTAAAAAAAAAGATCATCAGAGTATATGGATCACCTACGAAGTATATATAAATCCAAAATAGAAATTTGACTTTTCTTTTCTTCAAAATATGTGTTTTAAGGCTTCTCTTTAGGCAGATACGTCTTTCAACTGAGGATATTTAGAAAGAAGGAAACGTGAAAAGGCATGGTGAATTCACATGTACGTTGTTGAGAGATCAAAAATATTTACTCACAATAAAGCTGCATTTGATGTAAAAATACTAAATGTTTACGAAACTTAATGTTTAATTCAGAAAAAAGCAAATATGATAATACTCTCTGTTTTTTTTTTTTATATATAATTTTTTTTTGAAAGGAAATTAGTAAACGGGCCAAAAGAATACAAAGATTATTTTTTCACTAAAGTGGGACCCACAAGTTTAAATTTCTGGTGTATACTCCACAGCTGACCAGGCGACCGTTGATAAAGCAATCATGTAATTCGCGAGCCTCTGTGGTTTTCAAAATTCGTTCGATTTTCAGATACTTTTAAACCAAAATTATATTCCTTCCGTTTTTTTTATAAAATATTTTTTTAAAAAAAATTGTTCATAATTATATTACGTTTTCAAAAATCAATGCAAAAAATAATTGTTTTATTATATATATTATTTTTCTATTGATTGAATTATTTTAGAATTGATGTTTTGTTTTGGAAAAGGAGAAAATTAAATAACTTCATATAAAACCTTAAACATTATATATAAAAAAACGGAGAGAGTGGTATTGTTCTCTGTGGTTTCCTGATAAGTAGTCGTCACTAGTCAGATTGCTTTTATTTTTATATCAGGTTGCGTAGAAATTTTAAAACTTATTATTAGCTGTTATATTAATTTTCAATTTGTCACATAATTTATTTATTCTTGTCACATATTTTAAGCCTTATAGTATCGAATTTCTTTAGCTGGATCACTTGCTTATTTTGAATTTTGAGTTAAGTTGTTGCCTCTTACTGAGATTGTGAAATGTTTTTTTCTTTTTCTTTTCGATATGGACACAACAAATTAGGAGTATATACATACTAGTTGACAAAATCAACTTCCATGGCCAGGAATGTATATAATCGACAATTTTTCAAGGAGAGAGATTGGGATTTTGATGGCATTTATTGTGATGGGGTGTATTTTAGTTTGTTGCTCAACCAGTCAATCATATGGTTTGACATAATTAATCCAAAATTTTAATAAGAAATGACGATAATCTTTTTTTCTTCTATCAAGTGAAAGCTAACTTAAGGTCCTAATCTATAGTTCTACTTTAAAGGGTAATTGAATTTTAGACCAAGCACCAAAATGATTTGTAGGATATCCACATTAAGGGTGGGTGCGGATTGGATATCCAGAAATGTTCTAATATTTGTAATTTGCTCTATTTTTAATAGATATTTAATTTTATAATTTAATTTACTTCAGAAATATACGGAAATCCGGATATCCGAAAAATTTACAGATATTTGCGGATATCACAGATATTTGCGGATATTTATAAATATTTAGCTTAATCTGTATAATACATACAAAAACCCAAAAATATATCAACTTTTATGAAAAAAAAAATATTTTTCATCTAAAGTATTAAGTGAAAAATAAAAATAAAAATAATAAAATTCAAATGAAAAAAAAGAAAAGAAGATATTTATATTTAAAAGTAATATTAACTTCTTAAACCTTAATATTAAACTTTATTAAAAAAACTTTTGTTAATATTTATCAACAAATATAAAATAAATATTATTTATTAACATATTTTAAGTTTTAAAACATATTATTTATTTATTTATATTATTTATTTAGTCATTGATTTTATATAATCAAAAGAATTAAAAACAATTAAAACTTTTTTAAAAAAATTGATAGCACAACAATAAAAATATAACAAAATTTCATATTATAATAGATATATAAATGATAAAATATACTTATATATAATAAATTTATAAAAATACGGATCGGAGCGGATATCCGATATTATCTAAAAATATATTTGTGATTTGCTCTGTTTTGTACGGATATTATATTTTACTATTTGCTTTGCTTTGAAACTTTATGGATATCCAGATTTTTTGAATCGAATCGAAACAAATACCGGTTCGAAGCAGATTTAATGGATATTTTGTTTACCCCTAATCCACACAACAAACCAAGGAATCAAAATTAAAATATGTAAAAGTTCTTTCCGTTTTAATATTTTCATAAAGAATTTCTTTTTGAGAAAAGTCTGGTTTATGTTGACTAATGTGATCTCATAGTTGACAATAATCATCCTTCCAGCTCTTACGTAACCGCGTCTTGTTTTATTAACTTCTCCTAGTTTTTTATTGGCCGTGTCTTAGCTTCCTAAAGAACGATATGATTGGACACTATGTTATGCAAAAAATATATTATAAACCCCATAATTATTCTTATTTCTTCATATAATAAGTCTTATTTTTGAAACACTAAAACCAAAAAAGAAAAAAACTTCAAAGCTGCCATATGCATGATTAGTATGTATGATTTAATCATTTAAATCCTGGTTATATATATATATATATAATGTTATCTATCATTAATAATTAAGACAGTTTTTAACTAGCGACATTATAATTAAGATTTTTGATATCAAGTTCATCAGAATTGATGTGTGTTCAATTTGGGATTTTGTTTGGTTACAGATTTCTGACTCAATTTTACAAGTAGATTGTAATGTTTTACGTGAAGTGAGAAAATTTTATGTAAAAATTATGTAAACAGAGACAAAAAATTAGATTAAAAAAAAATCAGATTAAAAAAGAAATTATAAAAGAGACATCAGTAAGGGTATAATCGGGAATTCGCATACATGTTTTGGTTTCCAAAAAAGCTGTGTATAAAAAGTTGCAGTCCTCTCTGCCATAAAGCTCTTCTTCAGAGGATAACAAAAACAGAGCAATTTCTTTAAAAAAAAAACAAAAACAGAGACACGAAGATCTTTCGAGAAAAATTCAAAATCAGAAGAGGATAAACAGAGAGTTATAGAGAGATGGGAGATGTGGTTTTGTTAATCGATGATGAGACGAATTCGATATTGAGAATCACGCGTTGCAGAATCTGCCACGAAGAAGAAGCAGAAAGTTTCTTCGAAGTTCCTTGTGCTTGCTCAGGAACTGTTAAGGTAAAGAACCCAAAGAGAAAAACTGAATTTAATGTTTCTCATCATTTCTGCGTTCTTCAAAATTTGGAAACTAATGGAGTTTTTGGTTTCTTTATTCTTATCAAGTTCGCGCACAGAGATTGCATACAACGTTGGTGCAACGAGAAAGGAAACACGACATGTGAAATCTGTCTTCAGGTTCTTCTGCTTCTCTCCAATAATCAATCATTTTTCTTCAATCTTTCATTCTTAAAAAGTTTTTATCTTTTGGTGAAGATTTGGTTTTGATTTTGTGATATGCGCTTCGCTGTGTTAGTTTATAATTAAAGTATTTTCCAAATTCTTGAATTGCTTATTGTGTGTCATTGTTTCTTTCGTGTTGGTTTTTTTGTCGTCAATCATTTTCATACCGATAATAATAATTTAAGAAAGAAAAAGAGAAATATAATTTGATCGTTGCTATCAACTTAAGGGTTTTTGTTTGTTTGTTTTTCTTTCTAAATTCAGTGTATCTAAAAAATTAGAGTTGAGAAACCAAAAATGATAATTGGGTTCGTTTTTGTTTTTGTTCTATGTGCCCCCCCAATAAAATTAGCAGGACGATTGCGAATGTTTTTGTTTTGTAATCGAGTGACGATGATATAAAATATTCATTTGAGAAATCATGAAAAAGAAAACTCAATTAACATTAAAATCCTGCAGGTTTACAGAGATGGATATACGGCGGTTTCAAAACAATGTAAACTGATTGAAGCAGAAGTCACAATCAGGTAATTATATGTTTTTGTTAACAGATTACAAAGAATATTAAGTTAAATAAATTGAAAAATGGAATTGCAAATAATGGTGGTTTCCTGATTCTCTTCCTTGCTTACGCGTAAGGAAGATAGCTTGCAAATAGTTATTTGATCACATAGTTACAAATAATAATAAAACTGCGAATGTTTTATCTTTTTTTTAATGGAATAGAGAAAATGGAAGAAGAAGAAGAAGAAGACGATTAGTGCCAATAGCAGAATCGGATTTTACTCAGTGTAACTCTGTAACTACTTTTTGCAGATCATTAACTTTCACGGTAGGTTCTCTCTCTCGTCTTTTATCTTTGATTTTAGTTATTTACCAGGATTTTTGGGTAGAAAGAAAGTGATTATATAAGTACATGATAGTAATAAATTAGTTAAAACAAAATGATGAGAAAGGAAAAAGTCATTAGTTCTGAAATTGATATGGCAACCACTACTTCAGCTTTTTGGCCAAATCTATTTCGTAGCTATGTGGCAAAGCCTATAAATGTGATATATATATATTATTATAATGTTTCTTTTCCCACCACGTATAAATGTACAATGTTACCGTTTAATGACGGTGTCACTATTTTCCATATTCAGTCTTTTATTTTATTTTATTTTAACCGTTTCTCCCCCAATATTGAGAAATGTGGTGAGGTTTTGAAAATAAATATTTAATGGTTGGGAATGTTTGTAGCAAAAGAAAAACACATAGGTTGGGTAAGTTGGTGGTTGGCCAAGAATTTGAGAGTTTTGAGCCTTACCAAAATACAAACATTGTCTCACCTAAAGACCACACAACTCCTACCAAATTTATTTTTCTTACCCTTTTAACAAATTCGGATTTTTGGTTAAAGTTGATTTCAGATTAATAAACCTTAAACCCAAAGTTCTAGTTATATGAAAACATCTGCTAAAACTAATGTGTATATTTGCAGTTTTCAGTGTTTTTGCTGATGAAACATACATTCGATGTGATATATGGAACTCAAGAGTACCCATTCACTGTATTCACGGTAAAAAAAAAAAAAAAAAAATAGAGTATGATAAAAAAAAATTTCCTTTTAAGACACAAATCAGAGAAATAAGAATTGGGTGAATGAAATATGAATGCAGGTACTAACATTAAAAGCCATCGGAATTTTATTGCCAATGTTCATTATAATCAGAACAATCGCAGCTATTCAAAAAGCTCTCCTCCGTCGCCATCAATATCCCGTAAGTTCTCACTTAGTAAATGTATGTTATTAATTGTTTGACCACAAATGATTTTGCATGTGTAATGTGAATATATTTAGAATTGTGTAATACTAGTAGTTTGTAGGAACCACGTTTTGAAAAGATTTGTGGATCATGGGGAAATATCTTTTGATACCAAATATTTTGACTTTGAATATTATTTATCAAGGTCAAGGACTCCAAAACGGTACAGTATATCATTAAATGCCAAGTGTGAGACTTTCAACTTTCCTCTGTCTGTTGACTTTCTTTTATTAAAAATAAAAATAGGAATCTGAAGAAGAAGATACGTTGAGCTCCGACGACGACGATGAGTTGGTGGAAGAAGAAGAAGAAGAGCAACAACAACATTTGGCTTAAACCTTCAAAATTAACGAACGATATCTTTTTATTTGTTTTTTCTTTCTAATTCTATTTCTTCTACTAACGAAAAAGCATATATAATTCGATGCTCACCGAGTCATTGTAAAAAAAAAAAAACCGTGTATATTTTACTAAGAAAACCCACTTTTAATTTCCCGTTTGATTATTTTTTCCATATTATCACAAACTTGAACTTTTTTTCTAATCAGAATACTATTAACCCTGTTTAGCTAAGAAAATTAAAACATATACTCCCTCTATTTAATAAAGAGTGTTGTTTTAGAATTTTGTTTTTGTTTCACAAAAAGTGTCGTTTTAAATTTCCAATGCAAATTTATAACAAAATATCCAGTTTTAACCTTGTTATTTTAGTGTATTAATTAAAAAGAGAGAGTTATTTAGTGTATTTATTAGGAATAGAAAATACTTTTTGTTAACTTTCTTAATTTGTGTAAAAAGTGTCAAAATGACACTTATTTTGAAACAGAAGGAGTAGAACAATATCAAGTTATTAACTAATGTTTATACTACAGTATCTTGTCCGATAATTAATTGTCTTTGAAGAAAATTACTTACTTTCGATTTTACCAATTAAGAAAAACAGTACCTGCGAGGAACTCAACATATTATATTCACAAATCTGAACGAGGCTACTAATACGGTATCTCTCAAAACTCGACAAAAGACTCGGGTTTTAGATTATGACATGAGAAAGCTCATCGACCCGAGCTTGGTTTAAGGGTGTTAAAAGGAAGAATGACAAACCGGAAAGGCATGGCTGAATCAGTTGGTTAACCGGAGAAATGTGTTGGTCTTGTAGTGTAGCTCAGACAGTGATGTTGAGTAATCAGAATCTGATGCAACGCTTCTCATGATCTTCCTTATCATTTCTGCCAATTTACGATCCTCTTTTCTATGGTTTTTACCGTACAGGGCCTCGAATTCCTGGGATTTAATCACGGCTCTCTCAAGAACATAATCTGGAAGACCTATGGAGATTGGAGAAAAAAAGGATGCTTTTGTTTGAGTGATAAGACAAGGAAAAGCTTGAGGCGATGGAGTAGTGAATTCAAAATATATTCTTACCAGCTAACCGAGCAACGTTAACTCCATAGCTTTTAGGACATGCACCTTTCGTCAATCTATACAGAAATGTTACTTCTTCCACTCCACCTCTTCCTTCTCCAACTTGACATGCCATATGGCAAAGCGAGACCTATCCAATATCCATCGGTTAATTTTACAAGTTTCAGAATCGTGGTACAGAAACAATCACATCAGATGGCTGATGGTCTCAGCAGGGTGCTTTTACAGTGACAATACCTTTGGATTGGCTTGATAATCCATAGAGAGACGATGATAATGAGTAGAGAACATTCCTCTACACTGCACCTTGTCTATGAAGTGCTCAAGTACGGATTCCCTGTAACAAATTAATGATATTTTCAGTAACAGTAACAGCAAGACCCAACAACAACAAGGTACACAGTAATGGTTCAACATACGCAATGGCTTGTCCATCTGATGTGGCTGTTCCTCGCCCAAGCTCATCTAGTACCACCAGAGAATTTTGGGTTGCTGATGACTGCATATTTCGCATTGTTTAAATAAAGCATGTGAACAGAACTCGAAAGGATAATTAGCTGTGGTAAGTATCATATTAATCTTAAGAAACCTTCATGTAATCAAGTTGACAAACAGTATAAACATTACTTACCAACATTACAGCAGTTTCTGAAAGTTCTGTTAAAAACGTGCTTTGTCCTGCCATAATATGATCTTTTGCACCCATCCGGACAAAAATTCTGTCAACAGGCGAGAGCTCAAAGCTTTCTGCTGGGACATCTGCTCCAATCTACATAAAATAACATCATTGCTTAAGCCTCTTTCACTGACAATGAATAGGTCAAGGTCTATCGCCTTCTGAACTCAAAATATGATAGCGTTACCTGAGCCAAGATTACAGCCAAGCAAACTTGGCGAAGAAGGGTTGATTTTCCACCCATATTAGGGCCTGTGAGGAGAATGAAACTGGCCTGTTTCGAACCACCTATCTTTACATTATTTGGTACAAAAGAGCCTCTGCCTAATGAATCACCCCTCAGTACTGGATGCCCTAGACCAGTGGCAGACAAGTGAGGAACATCATCAAATGTAGAACCTGATATTACTGGGCGGCATCTTACTCCTTCATAAGCATCACTTGCAAAAGCGAGGCTGATCAACACGTCCAGCTCTGCCATAGAAAACAAAGCATCCACAGAAAGATATAAGTGCACACATTGTTTGCATGCCCGATTCTACTAAACAATCTTCTACCAAAGTAATCTCTTGCTTATAAGATGTGATTGAACTATACCTCTGCCGCAGCTTGATTGATTTCACACAAAAATTTACAGGGAACTCTAAGAATCATTTTTTTTCTGCATGTCTACTTCTAACTCAGTTTATAAAGTGTGGAATTATACTCAAGTTTAACTGGTTCGACAAATGCTCACAACGGAAAAGGTCCAAATTATGACTACCAAAGCTAACACCTAACACCTGGGTGGCAGTAATTAAGAGGTGTTGACTAAGAAGAAATGCATTTTCTGGAAGAAGATACTGACAAGTTCTTAAAAAGAAAAGAAAAATCAAAGTTGGCATAAAAGTTAGAAAACATGAACTTCTTCGTACCAGCTGTTGCAGAAACCAATTGTCTCCAATTCTCTTGATGCTTGCAGAAACGTCCAATTAATCTTTGTGAGATGCTCTTTAGAGCTGACTCTTTCTCAGATTTTGCTTGTGATAGCTCTTTTAATAATTTCTTGATGGTCGGAGTCCAATATCGAAAGACACCCTGAAAAGATGGGTGTAAATAGTAAGAAATCCCATGATTAAAATCAACCGTCTCTTTATAGTGGATAAATCAGCAATTTCGAGAAGACTTTTTATATCCTCTTAATAGCGAGGTTAAGATCACAACAAGACAATCCGAAATGCGAGGCAGAAAGACTCAACTAAAACCATCAGATCGACTTGTTGAGATGAGAATGAAATGCTATTTCTTAAAAATGCGAAACTTGGTCGATTGTTTACCTTTTTGGATGAGCATAATTCATAATCCTGAGGAACACTCCCACTTAAACTTTCAGGAACTTCCAAGAGGTATTCGTCTTTGCCAACTGTAACATAATTTATCTGAACAATATCACCAAAGCTCTGATCAGCACACCCTCAGTCGATTAGCCATTTAAGAAACAAAAACATATATAAAATAGTTCTCACTGATGCATCTCCAAGTAATTTTCGCTGCTCCTTCAGATGTTTTGTCAAACTGGATTCCAAGTCTTTTACCGTTTTGCACGTCAAATCATACTCTTCATCAGCTCCTTCATGAGGTACTACACGTCCAGAAGTGTGAGCTTCTACCCAGTCAAAAGCATCCTTGAAATACTTAATGGACGGTGAGATGTCTGGAAGACTTTGACCTGACATAAAAAAAAGTATGTAAGATGCTGTGAATTTACCAGTCTAAGAATGTGAATATGAAAAATATTTGTACTGACGACGGTACCAGGAGTAAGTAAATGAAGCAGTCGCCTGGATTTCTCATGCTTCAAAATTTCACGAAGGGAAGAGCATGCTTCTGCCATTGTTTCACAACCACGTAGAGTTGATATGAACTCTTGTAGCTGCTTCTTTGCCACATCTTCATATAGAACCACTTTATCTCCATTTCTACCACTAGCTTCACTGTGACATGTAGCACAACGATCCTTTTAAAAAGCTATCTTAAGTAGATCACTGATATACACATGCAATGCAAAAAATAACATCGCCTCTATCCAGCTAATCCCTTACATGCTAGAAAAGATACGTGCAATCAACCGCTCCATGTCTGGAAGTCTAGACAATGCCTTCCGGAATTCCAGCGAGTACGCGAGATTTTCCCCCTGAAGGTAGGGACAGTACCATAATTCATAGAGTTGTCAGACGGATAGCATAACTGAGAGTCTTCACATTGCATGTAGAGTAAGCTTCATAATATTAAGGAAATAATTTCCAGAAATAGAGTAGTTCTCTGTTCAACAGATTGCAAAACAGTAAAGGGTAAAATGGGAAACAAAGATGACAGGTTATTGTCTACTTGGAAAACAGAGAAGTATATCCCATTGCTTATAACCCACACACCAAATATCAGCAGCGTATAAATTCGAGCAACTTTTTTGAAGACTCACCCGCAGAATTGCTACAGCATCTTGACGTTCCTTGATCAGTTCCGGATTATATAAAGGTCTTGCCAGCCATGTTTTCAGTAACCGTTTCCCAGACGCAGTAACACATTGATTCAGTTGTGCATACAGCGTTCTTCAAAAGACAACACACAACACTTGCTTTAGATTTAGAACATATAAATTATGTTTGATAATATAGTAGGATCAAGAACTTTACCCCGAGAAGCCTCCATTTCTGCTGTTTTCAAATATCTCAAGGTTTTCGAGGGCAGCAGCATCAAGAACCATGTGCTGTTTCTCAGTAGAGTTGCTGAAATCACAGTAAGGCAGGGATTCAAACTTGGCAAACCTAAGAAGACTCTCATCCAAGAAAGCTTGTCTCAGGTAGTAAATGGCACCACCAAGAGCAGAGAGTGCCAGGCTACCATCCTTATCTCCAGTTGCTAATTCAGACAACATTTTTGGTAGGAAGCTTGAACCAATTTCATCGTTAAGAGATCTATCACCTAGAATCCTTCCCTCAGAGGAATGAGCAGAAGACGGTTGACAACTGATTCGCTTGTAGAAAATTCCAACTTCATGTATGGTCTTCTCTGCATCCCAGAATTCAGAAAGCGGAACCAGATTATTTATCAAGGGATTTCTGGTGTATCTAACTATTGTTCTCTCTGTTGCATAGCTCAGCACATTAGCTGGTTTAATGATTTCCACCGGCCTTATCTCAGAGAGTATGCAAGATAATGCACTGCAATCTTGATCATCCTCGAACTGTTATGAATTAAAAACATAGCCGTCAAATAGAATAGAAAAGCCAAAAGCCAAAAAATATCCACATAGACTGTTCCTAAGAGAGATGATTCGAGAAGTGTTACATATGATAAAAAAAATGCACCGTTTTTCTTTCAACCAATTCAATGACTAGAACCCACCTGCCCTAGAATGATCTTCTTTGTTGCA